ATTGATACTTTTTGTTTACTGCCTGTGGGAACAACCAATCACTGACCGCAAGATACCTATGAAAAAAATTAACGATTTTATTGGTACTTTTTTATTTGTCTACGGACTCATGGAACAGTCAATTTCCGACCTTTTGATACCTATAAAAAAAATTATAAGCAAATTTTATTAGTACTTTTTTTGTCTACAGGCTGTTAGAATAGCCAATCGCTGAACATGATACATACAAAAAAATTAATGAATTATTCATACATTTTTGGGGGCTACAGACTGTTGGAACAGCAAGCTGCTGATCTTAAGATACCTAATAAAAAAAATTAGCGATTTTTTTGGTACGTTTATTTTTGGGTGTATAGCCTCTTGGAACAGCCAACTGCTAATCGTAAAATACTTACGAAAAACAAAATAAAAAACAAAAAACAAACAAACAAAAAAAAAACGATTTTATTGTTATTTTTTTGTCGCGGGGCTGTTAGAATAGCGAATCGCTAATTGTGAGATACCAATGAAAAAATAACGATTTTATTCATACATTTTTTTTGGCTACGGGCTCTTGGAAGCTCCAATCACAGACCGTAAAATATTTAGAATAAAAAAGAAACATTAACGTGTTTATTGGTACTTCATTTTGTCTTAGTAAGGTATCAAGGAAAAATCAGCCATTTTGTGAGACTGGCGCCAAAGTAGTCAGAATTATGTTAAAAGCTTCAATAATTTGTCTCGAAGTAATTTTCGCTGAAATTAAGGAATGTTGAACTGTAGACTAGTCAATCTGAAAATTGTGTGTATGTGCGTGCGCTTGTGTGTCTGTGCGTGCGCTTGTATTTAAGAAGGGTGCTGAAAAGTTGCTAAGAAGAGATTAAAAAATAGCTGGTATTGATCAGATTTTGGGAAGTAGAGCGTACTGAGAAGTTTTAAGGACCACCTTATGAATATATATATATATATATATATATATATATATATATATATATATATATATATATATATATTATAAAGATGTTGCATACAGACAAACAAATATTCACGACAAAGATGGTTACAAAAGAGATGCATTCGCATCGAAACAAAAATACATCTTGAGTATTTATTTGTCTGTATGTAACATCTTTATAATAAATAACTATTGCTCTAGTCTTGGTAATGAGCTCTCTTTTAGATTAATGTTATGAACG